TTCTTAAAAGAAATAAAAAAGTCCCCATGGAAACCAAAATTGCAACATAAGAGCTCAGAAATGACCACAAACTCTCATGAAGCATATCAAATTGATCAGATTACATCATTTGCAATACTACATGGGATTGTAGTTTATGCTTTCATAAACAACGTTAAGTACAAATCTTGTACCTTTGTCTGTTTGCTCAATTTTCATATTCTCTTTTTTTGTTACAAATAAAGTTTGGAATGTAGTCCCCATGGAATCCAAAATTGCAACATAAGAGCTCAGAAATGACCACAAACTCTCATGAAGCATATCAAATTGATCAGATTACATCATTTGCAATACTACATGGGATTGTAGTTTATGCTTTCATAAACAACGTTAAGTACAAAGTCTTGTACCTTTGTCTGTTTGCTCAATTTTCATATTCTCTTTTTTTGTTACAAATAAAGTTTGGAATGTTATGATTCATCTCAGAGCTGGTTGATTTCTGTCCATGACTTCTTATTAAAGCCTTTATTAAAGTACTTTTTGAAATCCATATTGAGAAAATGAAGGGAAAAATGCAGAGACTGTTGAAAAAGTGAGCAGTCACTGTTGTGCTTTTCATTTCTTTCAACATATTTCTAACTAGTACTTTAAAGAGTTTAGCTCTTTGTCACCCACCTGCCTTCCGGTCTCGCTGTTATGCAGGTTCATAGTGAACAGGGTGTCCTCAACACGGGCTGATGTGTTCTTTACTGAATTGTCAATGAAGCGACGGCTGAACGAAGTCCCGAAGGCGATGTCATCGGAGCACCCACCCCAGTGCCAGCCCTCCATGGGCGAACCATTGCCCAACAGGCTCATATCACACGAACACTCTGTCATATTTCCTGCACTGCAAGAGCGAGTGACTGCATGAACCAGGCCGGCAGCCATTACTGCGTAGATAAACGCGGTCTCTTTCGTCCCTTAAAAAACAATAAAGAGAATTTAAGCAAGAAGCCGATGCAAGTCAAGTACTTACAAATGTTGAAACAACCAAAAATTATGGGAATGTAAGATTCACAGCAGGACATTTGTGAGAAGGGTCTCAGGGCAGCAGTATCAGAGTCTGGGAATGTTACCTACATTCATACAGAGAAACACTGATATCACACTATAAAATGAGCAAAAATGTTTGGCTGAAGAAATTAACTTTTTATTGTGAGAACAGATGATGTAAAAATTCTTAACATCCTTTTAACTGAAAATAATTGTTTTATTAAAGTGACCATTTTATACATTAAGTAAATGGTTCTGTACATTTCAGTGTTTCTGATTAAATGTTATTTACAATAAATATATCAATTTAATTGCAGATCCTAATAAAAATCACTTCATGCAGCTCAAGTTTTAATTGGGAGCAAACTAGTTATCTAGTCATAAATTCATGCATGTAGTTTCTATAAAGCTAATTTTAATATCTTATATAAAATAAAATTTAAAATATAAGACTCATTTTTTTTTATTAAATTTGGTTTATAATGTTTTACCTTTAAATTTGATTTCTCAAAAATATCTGCCAACTATGATTTTTTTTTTCTTTCTTTCTCTTTTTCTATTACTTTCAAGAAAGGTGACCTAAACATTTAAAGCAAGAAGCCTAAATAACTGGAATAGAATAGAATAGAAGAATAAACATTTCAGTTTCATTTCTGATAGTAAATGCCTATAAAATTACTTTAAACCCTGGTTGTGGCTGCATGACATCAGACCTATATCAAATTCAGTTTCCCCTTGAATCAACTTGAGCTTGAAATTGAACTACTCTGGAAGAGAAACTAATCTTAGAATGGATTCACAAAAATCAAGCAACAAGTTCTACCATTTCAGTTTTACTCTTTGTTTTGTAATAACTCTAATCCTGCATGCATTAAATTCAGCGCCAGATAAAGACCATAGTAAATTTAGTATAGAGATGGCTAACCTAAAACAGATGTGTCACAGGCTGTTTCCAAAATCAAATCATCTTTTTCATAAACATTTCAAATCAAAACAGTCATTAAGGGGTCAAAAATAGGATTAACCGTCAATTAAAAAACATTCAGATTCTTTAAGCAATTACAAAGTGATGATCTCTCATTATATATCACAGAATGACCGACTTGTTTTTTTTTATGGCAAGATACTGATTATTTTTGTTGAAGTGTCCAATAACCACATATGCATATTTTAAATAACTGTTTTCTGTATAACTTATGAAGGTGAACAGCCTGCTTTATGAGACTAATGCACACCAAATAAATTATTTAACCATTTTTCTAGCCATATACAATGCTCCTCAAATTGTATTTCTTTGCTCAGTTTCTTTGAATCAAAATTACATGCATTGATTTTTAAAATAAAAACTATTAAGACAGTATTACCATCCTAAGTTGTAATATTTTTCATCTCGTGATTATTTGATTGCGTTGGTCAAACTTTACTACTAATTTTCATTAATAAAAGTACACTCTATAAAATGCTGGGTTAAATACAACCCAGTGCTGGGTAAAATAGGGACAAACCCAGCAATTGGGCTGTTTTGACCCAGAGGTTGGGTTAATACCCAAAAGGTTGGGTTAAACATTTAACCCAACGGCTGGGTCAAAACAGCCCAATTGCTGGGTTTGTCCCTATTTTACCCAGCACTGGGTCGTATTTAACCCAGCATTTTTTAGAGTGTAATAAAAAACAGGATTATAAAGTTAAAGCACATTCAAATGAAGTCTGTTTCAGTATGACACATTGCATGCGTACCACTGGTGAGCTCGTAGCCGAACACGTTCGGGTCTCGTCGGGTCGAGCAGTTCCAGACTCTATAAAATGCTGGGTTAAATACAACCCAGTGCTGGGTAAAATAGGGACAAACCCAGCAATTGGGCTGTTTTGACCCAGCCGTTGGGTTAAATGTTTAACCCAACCTTCTGGGTATTAACCCAACCTCTGGGTCAAAACATCCCAATTGCTGGGTTTGTCCCTATTTTACCCAGCACTGGGTCGTATTTAACCCAGCATTTTTTAGAGTGTAATAAAAAACAGGATTATAAAGTTAAAGCACATTCAAATGAAGTCTGTTTCAGTATGACACATTGCATGCGTACCACTGGTGAGCTCGTAGCCGAACACGTTCGGGTCTCGTCGGGTCGAGCAGTTCCAGCGTTCGTGTTTGAACTGCGTTTGGCACTCGGTGATGCCCAGGCGCGCGCCCTCTTTAATGCTCGGCAGAAGGTGCGGTTTGCGCGCGCACAACTCCTTCTGCTTGTGCGACAGGGGCAAATGCGCGCAACCCAACTTCTCGGGCACTCCTACAGATGTGATGCCCAACCACCTGTGATGCGGAGTAGTGTGACACAAATATCAGAAGCGGTTCTCCTCTCCTGTCGGCCTGGATTGAAATGCCATAACCAGGCCCGAGGAAAAGGAGACAATTTTCAAACATTGTATTCAAACATTAATTGACAGTACAACAACACAGCACTTATAATACTTACATCCAACTTCCCTGAGAGCACAGAGGGCAAACTGAGAGCCACAGAAGGAATAAATGGAAAACTGCATGTATCCCATAACCGGTTTTATCCATGTCCACTTCATTTAACAAGTCCCGAACTGAATGTTTGGACAAGGACGATTCATACCGGTCCACTACATCTAATATCTAGCGTATGTAATCCACAAACGGCGCTTTTAAATTCATAAATGTCCCTTTTATGTATCCATTAAGTCGCAGGTACGAACAAAAGCGTCCAACCACCACCAAGTCACCTTCGCCATCAGCGTGAACTCAAATAGACACAAACAGTTATATGCTGCTGTTGCTGCTGGAAAATGCGCTCTCCTGTGAAGCACTCCCACGTCGTGATTGGTCGAACCGATCATTAATATTCATAAGATGATATCGTTCTTAGCACTGATTGGACAAACAGATCTTGGCTTGGAGGCCGGCGAGAGAGAGCAAAGCACAAAGCGACCGAGACTTGGGCAGAAAGATTCAGTCATTTCAGCAGCTCACTTGACTAGGTATTTTGTGAGGTTGAAAGAACTGTGTTAAGAATAAAAAAGGACTCGAGCATCTAACTGAGCATTATTAACTTAGTGTTTAACGAATATTTTGAAACCAATATTAAAATAAAAGGCGGGAGAATAGAGAAACGCAGAAAGACGCTTAGGCATTGTAAAACATTTTAAAGCAAAGAAGTTGTTTAATTAATACTACTTAAGCGCACACGGTGTTCACACTAAACAATAACTTTCAGAGGCATCGACTTTTATAAAATAACTGCAAATATTTTATACTTTTAAACGTCCAACATATTAAGTAGGAGTAAATGTTAAGGTAGCGTTAACGTTAATTTTCGGACGCAGTCTTGAATATTGTCGTTCGCAACGCAGTTTGTAGTTTGTCACACTGAGCAGAGTTAACTGTACTTTTATAATAAAAACTTTACGTTTTGTGATATGTAAATTTGTTATAAGCAATAATAAAGTGATACCGACTCACTTTTCATCGACGAACCGCATGAGAACGCTCGTTATGAAGAGCTCGTGAGCAACGTACTGTTGTTATGGTTACCTGCAGCGTCAGGTGAAAATGCGCGCTCTAACTAATATTTTATCATCACTGAAATTCCGTGACTGAAGTGGAAAGTTACAGAATCAAATGCAAATGTAGTTTTATAAATGAGCAAAAACATATGCGTGTTATACTTTGATGGCTTGGTCTGTTTCACCCACAGTTACTGATATAATCAACATTTATAATGCTTTTTCATAAGTTAAGCAACACATTTTGGTTTGGTGTGGATGAAGGGGCACAAAAAGACATAAAAGTTGTTAAAACTGCTTAAATATTCTAATATATTTTAAAAAATCAGTTTGCATGAACACAGTATGCCAATCAAATATGGCACGGTAGAATCAAACTAAATATAAGACAAAAACATTTGATAAATTCAAAAAGAAATGTGTTTTAAATTATGAAAATATACATTTTTAATTGTTCAGGATAAGTGATATTCATTATGACTGTTGGAATCATACATTTCATGCACAGGCGACAAGATGAATATCTTGGCATAGCTCTTCATAAACATCCAAATCATTGGACCCTAAAATTCTGACATATCAAAAATAGAGTTATCACGCACTGCGGAATATTAACAGGTCAATACATAGTTTCATGTGATTTCATTTCACTTCAAGTGGAAATAGCGTACGTGCCCATTCTGAGCTCAGCTTAACAACTGGTGGGAAGATCAATTTTATGGGATTTTATAAATTAATCCTACTAATTTTCTCTCTTCAAAAGCCACTTCCTGTTTAACGTAAATTATGGACAAATGAAACATCATGCATTCCAGCAATTTAGAGTAAACCCAGCAACAATATAAAAATGTTTACCATCAAAACAATATAAATATCTTCTTTGTTGTAAACAGCATTTATAGCATTTTACACGGATTATTATTAAAGGCACTGGAAAACACTGGTAGAAAAATAAATGTATGAGGAACGTAAGACAGTAATACTATAACATACAATATACTTCATAAGACCTTTGGCATAGAAAATACTTCATAAATACTTGTGAACCTGGCATGTGAAGGAAAGGCGGTGTAAAGCTAGACTTCAAAACATCGCCCGAGCTTCCACAAAAGTGACAATGTGAAGCAGGGTGACATCAAAGGCACTCCACAGCAGCCGCGAAACATACTGGGAACGTTTCAGCCCGTGGTTCAGCAGTAGCAGCATTGTGGGAATGTTGCATGAGCATTGTAGGAAAGCTTTCATAAGGCTGTTTGAAGGGTCTGTGCAACCGTCTCAGTTATTTTTCTACAGCGTCGCACCGCAGCCACTGCCTGCCCTTAAGCCGCAGCTGCCAAAGTCATTTTGGCAGGGCTTCAGGAGGTCTCATTGAACCCCCTCACACCCCTTTTCCATCTGGATCGCTCTACACTAAAACACATATGCGCAAACAGACACCTACCTAACTCGTCCTCCAATTTACCACTTTGTTCCAGCATATGGTTAAGTAGATTCAGACCATTCAGTGTGCACTGTTTAGCCCTTTTACGCAGATTTCTCAACACATATACATATTCACAGCTAATCATACAGACACACACACCTGAAAAACATGCACAGGTTAGCGTCACCAGCCGCTAATTGTCCTTTTTGTCACTGTTGGCGAATGGTCCCGTTGACGGCGTGATTCACACATATCCTGCTGAGAAGGATTTCCGAATACTCCGCATTCACTGGTCCCTTTACGTGGTAGGACACGTCAGGTTGAGACGACGGTTCCTCGTGCTCTTGAGGCCCCGTCTGCTCAGTGGTCGTATTCCTGCTTTCTCCACCAACCCTAAAGATCTTTAACTTTCTTTGGGACGCAGCGGTTGGAAAGGGAAGCTTATAGACCTGCAAACAACATAATATAAGACATATTTAGCGGTCACATTTGAAGCTAATCAATTATCTATTGCATAGGGAATATGATATTTCAATCTTGTAAGCAAATAACATTGTCTATCTGTGTGTGGCTCTGTTCTCTCACATGGGACACAATTTTTAAATTAGGGATCTAGCCTTTATCACATTTCAGTTTTATATCGCCAATTCTTATTAGCTCCCTGCTCTACAAAATACTTAAGGTTAAGAGCTTGTTTCTTCCGAACACTAAACAACAAAAATACATTGTACACATCTACAGTGATATCAGTCCCATATGTGAGCTGGTTTGGCATTTCTACCACCACTTCACACACTTAGCAAGCTAATCCATCTGTTCCCAACCTGCCCTTTATTGGCTAATAAAAACCCGCCTAATTGCTAATTACTCATTAAGTGATCTGCCAGGCACTTTTAGGGTGAGGTAAAAAAGGAATGGCTTCTCTTTTAAAAGATTTATGGGGCTGGAAGGCTGGAAAAGTGTTTCTAGCAGGATCTATATCCATATATATGAACAGTAGAACTGATTCATTCACAAAAATGGATGTGTGGATCTAAAAAAATTCTAATCAGCATAAGTACATAAGTAAATAATTGTGTTGCATTTTTTACTGTATTAATGAGAATCTAGTAATGATAATCGAATGATAATATTTTTGTACACTACTATTCAAAAGTGTGGGGTTTGAAAGGTTTTGTGATGTTTGTAAGATTCTTGTAATGTAAGGCTGTATTTATTTAATTAAAAGTACAGTAAAAACAGTAATACTGGGAAAATTATTACGATTTAAATACAATTTTACAAAAAAAAGCTTAATATACTACTATAAAAAAGCTTTTTACTATAACTTTTACTATATATTTAAAAATTCAAATTAAATTAAAATTCAAATAAATTTTTTTCCCTGTGATGGCATTACTCCAGTATTCAGTGTCACATGATTCTTCAGAAAGCATTCTAATATGTGATTTGCTGCTAAAGAAACATTTCTTATCATCAATGTTGAAAACAGCCGTGCTGTTTTAATTTTGTTGTGGAAACTGTGAGGATTCTTTCATAAATAGAAAGTTCAAACAAACAGTGTTTATTTGAAATCTATTGTAAAATTTAGTATTTAATCTCACTTTTGATGAATTTAATGAGTCCTGGCTGAATAAAAGTAAAAAGTAAATGTAATATATATATACAGTGGGTACGGAAAGTATTCAGACCCCCTTAAATTTTTCACTCTTTGTTATATTGCAGCCATTTGCTAAAATCATTTAAGTACATTTTTTTCCTCATTAATGTACACACAGCACCCAATATTGACAGAAAAACACAGAATTGTTGACATTTTTGCAGATTTATTAAAAAAAGAACAACTGAAATATCACATGGTCCTAAGCATTCAGACCCTTTGCTCAGTATTTAGTAGAAGCACCCTTTTGATCTAATACAGCCATGAGTCTTTTTGGGAAAGATGCAACAAGTTTTTCACACCTGGATTTAGGGATCCTCTGCCATTCCTCCTTGCATCGTCCTTGCAGGAACTCCCTATAACGACCCATTGTGATACTGAGAGTGTCAATGACCTCATATCCAAGATGCTTGGCACTTTCTAGAATATTCTTGTTCACATTATAGAGTTCTTGCACTCCATTCTAGGACCAATGAAAGAAGACAAAAAGGCAGACAAAGTTGATAGATGTCAATAAATGAATGAATAAAGTGGAAAAGAAGAATATCTGGTCAACAGACCAAACCCATGGATTTTGTATTCTCCAGTAGTTCTCACCAGTGTAAGGGAGCGAATACCATCCACAGGCAGATGGAAACCCATTCCTAAAGACTTCACCACCACCATGATTTTCTCAAGACCCTCCCTTGGAGAAAAGCCTTTGCCATTAGAACATTGCTCATTAAAAATGTGGTTGAGTCAAGCTAATAATGAACAGGTTGGTTTTGTGTTGCATTTGGGAACGTTTACCTCTCTAAAACCTGCTGGATGGTTTTCAAATGGTTCAGGTTCAGCCACTGCACCCCACCAGCGACCAGTACTGTCTGAGGCGAGTTCTCCAGGGGTCGTGACCTGTCCCGGCGAAAGTGAAGAGAAGAGGTTAAAGATCAACAGCACATACTGAAGACATAATCAACAATCCATAGCATAAATTGACCAATTATTTCAAGTAAAAAAGTGGAAATATGTACCAAAAATTGCAAACCGTTTAGTTTCGTACCACTTAAACCAAACAAAAAAAGTATGGGGTAAGATTTTGTAATGTTTTGGAAATAAGCCTCTTATGTTCACCAAGGCTTACAGTATTTGAGAAAAATACAGTAAAAATAGAAATATTGCAAAATATTATTACAATTTAAAATATCTGTTTTCCATTTTAAAATATTTTAAAATATGATTTATTCCTGTGATAGCAAACTGAATTTTCAGTATCTTTACTGACATGCTCCTTCAGAAATCATTCTAATATGCTGATTTGCTGCTCAAGAAACATTTGTTATTATTATCAATTTTGAAAACAGTTGTGCTGCTATTTGTTTGTATGAAGTTTTAAAGGATTATTTGATGAATGGAGTTCAAAAGATCAACATTTATTTAAAATGGAAATCTTTTGGAAGATTATATGTCTTTACTAGTACTTTTGAACAATTTAATGCATAATTTCTTAATAAAAGTAATACTTTTTTAATTAAAAATTAATAAATCTTACTAACCTCAAACTTTTAAATGGTAGTGTATATACATATTTCAACACTTATACAAAGCAAAACTCAGCTTTTTAATTTAATTTAGCAAAAACAAAATGCGTCAGATCATTCAAGCAGCTCCCAAAACACATGTCCTCAACAGATGCACACTATAACACACTCAAACACACACACAATCACATCTGTGCAGCATATCCTACCCTTCTGCCCACATCAGTAGCTGTGTGAGATCAACGGCGCACTGAGCCAGCAGTGGTTACCGTCCCTGCTGACATACTCTGATCTGACACACGGCCTCCCAACCACATGCAGCTCACATCCCACCATCAAACACGCTGCCAAAGTCATTCAGTGTGTTAACAAGGCCTTTGCCACTTTAGACCGACACCAAACCCGCACATTCACAGCTTAATGGGTGTAATCCACAGCCACATGGAGACAAACATCATCCAACATGCACATACACAGACCTTTCTAGAAGCTGCTGCAGAGCTCTTTGGAAAGTGGGTCTCTGGGCCTTCGGCAGCCAGAATTGTGGGTAGTAGGAGTAGCTGGCGACAGTTCTGCCCTGATTCAGGTTGTGGTAGACGATGGTGTCGTGGGCCTTGTCCCAGTCCTCCAGAGTAGTGTTCACCCTCTCCATCAGGTAGTACATCATCCCTCGATTGGTGGAGTCGCCGATAAACAGGACCTGAGGGAAACCATGCATGTATAGATGTTGTGAGACTAAAAAAGGTTAAACCAAGTCCTGGACTGGTTTCTTAAACCCATTCTTGTCAAGTCCAGAATTATACTGCACAATATGCACAATCATTCATTTCAAAGGCACAACTAATCATTGTCTATGTGTTTTACCACCACCATAAAGGGTCTACTTTTGCATCAAATGAAATAGCTTTTTCAAGGCCACTGATTTTAGTCCATACTATTAACTTATATTCATCATTAGTTCATGTTCAAGTCCAATAAATAATATGAACAGATACAACTTTTGATTTTAATAATGTATTTGTAAATGTTGAAATTGATATTAAGGTTAATGAATAGATTAATAAATGCTTTGTTTAATTTTTTATCATATCTATTTTTCATTGTCCGTTCATGTGAACTTATGCAGAACTTATAATGTTAACAAATAGAAATGTATTGTAAATTGCAAGCATTTTTATTATGAATACTGCATATTTATAGTATTAGTCTGTCATAAATCCTACAAATTAAAATAATTTAAAAAAGAATGTAAAATATTATATAATGGATGCGGTATAGCATACATATACATGTGTATGTATATATATATATATATATATATGTGTATGTATGTATGTGTGTTAGGGGTGTGCGATATATATCGTCTGCGATAATATCGTAATTGTTTTTTTAACGATGTTTGATTTGACATTATCGGGGCTGATCTGGTCTGACCACCAGGCCACAGTCCTGCTCAGATACAGTGAGAACAGAAAAGAAGAGACACGGGTGAGCTTTGAGTCTGGAAAGACATTCTGAGACAACGGTCACACTTTTGTGTTAAAAATGTAAGCACTCATGACAATAAAATAGTTTTTGACAAATAAAGATTGAGTCGTTTCAAAGTTTCCATAGCTTTTTTTCACCCCCTTCGCTCGAGGTTCCTCACAGACAAATTAACACAGGCGCGCCATCTGACGGCCTTGCTCCTTGTTAGGGGTCAAGGGTCAAACAAACCCAACAGGCTAAATGACAACATCAAGCCTGCTCCGCCGACCCCTGAGGTCCCTCACGGGAGCCATCGGGTCTGGCTCCACTTCAGAAGACCGGCTCTTCGTTCGCTTTTTCGTTTGCCCCCTTCCTTAGCACTTTGCACAGGGGCTTCTCAAAGTCACGTAACATTCCCCAAGTTCCCGCCGCTGTTCTCGACAAAGTGCCACAAGACAACTTAACAGGGATTTTCTTGTTGTACCTGCACACAGTGTGTGTGTGCAAACACGAGCGGGCTTTTGATTCTGAGCAGGCCGGCATAAATCAGCAGGTTAGTCCGAGCCTGGCGGAAACCGCCAAGCACTTTAAGCATCGGAGCCGGTGAAAAGTTAGCATCCCTCCGGAAAGGAAAATGCATATAATTAATTCAAACAGAGGGCAAAGAAACATGAAAGAACAAAACCTCTTAATTTTATCTCTCTCATCTGTCTTTTTTCCATTCCCCGGAGAAGAAAATGATGGAAAAAAAGTTTAATCCAAGGTCAGGTACTGATTTAGCAGGGAAGGCTTTCCTAGCCTTTTAGCTTGGCTTTCAGATGATACAGGGCATCCTTCTGCCTCTATATCACCAGAGAATAATGAATCAACAACATCTGGTTAATGAGGATTTCATAAAAAGAGTATGAATGAGAGGACATGAGAGACTGGGGAATAGAATAGACAACGAGAACAAAAAAAAAAATGTTGAAATGTAATTTCCCAGTATCTATTGATTCACTTAAGTAATTTTACAGGTTCTGTGATAGCACTTTAAGCATCGGAGCCGGTGAAAAGTTAGCATCCCTCCGGAAAGGAAAATGCATATAATTAATTCAAACAGAGGGCAAAGAAACATGAAAGAACAAAACCTCTTAATTTTATCTCTCTCATCTGTCTTTTTTCCATTCCCCGGAGAAGAAAACGATGGAAAAAAAGTTTAATCCAAGGTCAGGTACTGATTTAGCAGGGAAGACAGCGGATGAATTTGAGATCAGAGCTTGGCTTTCAGATGATACAGGGCATCCTTCTGCCTCTATATCACCAGAGAATAATGAATCAACAACATCTGGTTAATGAGGATTTCATAAAAAGAGTATGAATGAGAGGACATGAGAGACTGGGGAATAGAATAGACAACGAGAACAAAAAAAAATGTTGAAATGTAATTTCCCAGTATCTATTGATTCACTTAAGTAATTTTACAGGTTCTGTGAAATGTTTTGTGTGCAATTCATTTACCATTTACGATGCCATGATTTACAATACCATTTATGTTACAGACATAAATGATACCCTTAATTTGTTAGGATTATTAATATTCTATGTCATTGATGAAAGACTAAAACAGATTTTAAATGCAACAAGTCAATTTAAAAGTCACAAAATTCTAATGAACAGTATTAAAAAATGTTGAGATATGCTGAAGATTACACTTAAGAGTATTATTAAATTATTATTAGAGCATTGTCTTTTTAAAATTTGATTTGAAAATGACAGAAAACACAGCAATATTGTGATATAGTATTACAATTAAAAACTGTGTTCTATTGTAAAAATGTAATTATTTAAAAATTTATTAATTATAATATGTATATATATATATTTGTTAATTAGATATTTACCATATAAAATAATAATATTATTATTATTATTAATGTAGTTAACAGCTTTTTCCAGGATTCTTTGATGAATAGAAAATTCTAAACAAAAGCACTTATTTGAAATAGAAATCTTTTGAAACATTATAAATGTCTTCATTGCCTCTTTTGATCCTTTTAATGCACACTTGCTGAATACAAGTGTTCATTTCTTTAATAACTTAATAACTTTTGATCAGTAGTGTATATAAATTCATATTCTTTAGAAAATGCAGAATTTGCTTATATGATTACATATTACAGAAATACAGCAAGACAGCTTAAACACTCTTTTTGCAAGATTTTTTAATATGCATTCACTGTATGTGTGCGTTTTTCAGAGTGTGTGTGAACATTTCAGTTCTGAACGCTTGCCGAGCCACTCGTGTTGGTTACAGGAATCAGAGGCCAACAGCAACGGCACTGAAATCTCCACTGATCAAAGTGAATAACCCGCGCTGCTAGAAAACCCTCTGCTTAGCTTTTATCTTTAAAAGTTTGTTTCGAGAGAGAGTCTTAAGCCCTCTGAGAGGAAGGACACATACTTAAGAGGTTTGTTTTAATAAGCCGCCATTGGAGACGAAGCCCTCAGCTGTAGTGCAATGAAAGACATAAAAATTTACAAGCAGGAGATTAGCAGCTTTCATCAAACATGTAAAACCATTCCAGCGGGATCAAGTGTTCTTCTATATGGGACGAAAGTAAAGCAAAGGCTAGTTGAAATGACACTTTTACAGAAAAATATACAAAAGTTGAGATAAGGGAACATCATGCTCACTGTTAATTTTATAAATATATTTCTTATTTTTTGCCATTTTATTCATTAGATAGCAGAAATTATGAAAGACCGTTTCTGCCACTGAATAAAAAATAAAAAGGTAATTGCAACTTTTTACCTCACAATTCCGACTTTTTTCTCAGAATTGTGAGATATAAACTTGCAATTGTAAGAAAATAGACTTTTTTTCTTTATAACACGTAATTGCGAGTTTATATTTCAATTCAGAGAAAATAAGTCAGAAAAAAGAAAATTGCAAGAAAAAAAGTCAGATTTGCCCGTTTATATCGCTCAATTCTGAGAAAAAAAATGTAAGATGTAAACTTGCAATTGCGAGAAAAAAGAATTGTGAGATAAAAAGTCGCAATTACGGTTTTTATTTTTTATTCAGTGGCAGAAACAAGCTTCCGTAGAGAGAATAATCTTTTTTTATTCATAACAATCTTTACTCATAATCTGAGTCTATTTTTAAAAGCTCTCCTCAAATATGACCTTTTCCTGGCATGAAAATAAGGTGAAGTAACCATGACATTTTGTCAGATGGGAACTTGATTTGACAGATGTTTTATTTCAGGTCAGTGTGGGACGTCCAAGTGTTCAGCCAACAAAAGACTTAGAAACTGGCAGATAAGCTGATGTATTTGTTGCATGCTTTCTTCAACACTAATCAATGCAAAAACGAAAGTGTAATTAAATTGGGTGCATTGTGAGAAATGCCGTACAGATGCCCCATCTGGTCATTGAAATACAGCCTTTGTTATGAAAGACTGAAGTGGCTTTACCTAGAGTGTTTAATGTAATCCTGTGGATTGTGGATTGTAATCCTATAGAACTGTCATGCTGTCAGTCAATCCCTCACACTATAAGACAAGCTATTGGGTTTCATTTCAATTAGGACGGTGAGAAATGGAGGCGGCATGCTGCAAGCATCAAAAAGCTGTATTTAAAAGAATATAAAGGGGGTATTCTGACTGGATCCTTTAATCAGCTAAGAGAACAGCAAGAGAGGTTTTATTTAGTGCAACTTCAAAAGTTAAATTCTAGCATTCACATTTAGCAAGTGAAAGATCACAGACCACGAGGGAGAAAATTCTGAATAGAAGAATATGTAAAGAGAAAGAAAAATAAGGAAAATAAAATCAAATTAAATAAGCAATTCCAAGAGGGTCCTCCTCACACCATTGCTGCTCGGGCCCTAATTTAGCCATTTTTATGGATTAGATCAAGTCGAAAAAGTTCCTTAATTTATCACATTACCACTGTTTACAGTGAAACAATTATTTCCTTGTGTCTCCTAGATGAACAGAAAGGAACCATGGACCAAGTCACTGAATCATTCACTAAGAAGAAGAAGCAAATAGCAATTTGATACACTTCATATTCAAAGTATATATGACTGTTTGTCAAACTGTCTCAGGCTCTGCTCTAAGCTCTATGTCTCCAAACATAATTACACAGATAAACATACACGAACACACATATGGATGCAATCATCTGTAGCAGGCCCAAGCCAAACAGCTCATATAGCTTTTGGAAAACAGTATAGACATGCT